CCCCCATTTGATTCTCTCATGTCTAAGAATGTCCCATTGATTCCTTCTTTCTGATAAGTATGGACTCATATAAACAAACACTACCCAGGACCTTCTTTCATTTTCTTTCTCTCTGTACTGCACTGCTGTGAAAAAAGAACTACCATATATCTGATCAATTCCAACATCTAGACTCCACATTAACAACAATCCTCCACTTAATCCTCTGGGTTCCACAACAAAAAATCTATCAGCAAAACCCAACCTTCTACTAACTTTAGCTGAGAATCTCATAGATTTCCTTACTTCAGATAAAAATACAAATACAGGGTGATGGAGCCTAAGGCCTTCCTTGATCTGGGGAACTGTAGAGGGCCAACCCAGACCTCTACAGTTCCACACCAGAGCGCTCATTGAGACTGTGAGGGCTCTTTAAGGTGGGCCCTCTCCACCTGTGTCGTCGAGACTTTGATTTTTTTCTAACCCTCAGTTTGCAAACTAGTTCCCAAAGAAGAACTATTCAGACTGTCTGCCTCCCTCTGTCTTTTTGCTGGTACAGTACTTTCCTCCATACAACTAGGAAAATGAGTCTTAGTTGAACTCCCTTCTTCTCTGCTAGATCTCTTCAATGTTCTTCTGCTAGCAATCTTTGTGTTCATTGGCCTGGGAGATAAACCTTGTGTCATTGATTGTTCTCTGATCTCATGTATCCCTGCTTGAGGATTGTTAACCCCTTGAATCGTCACCTCCATTAAATTAGACTGTGGTTCAGCTTCATACACCACTAGTTCCTTTCCTTTTTTATTTTGATCAGAATCATCTCCTATCTGAGAAGAAGATCTTGTGATAACTTTGGCCACCTGACTGCTCTGTGGAACAACGCTCATCAACGCCCCTGGTGATCCTTGAGATCCTTCAACACTTTGATTTTCCTTTGGTCCTCCACTGCTGTTAGATTGATCCTGGTCCTTAGTTGTCCCTGAAGATGAATTACCATTAATCCCACCTGGGCTCTGCAATCCTTCGGTTGCTCGCAACCAGTCACCGAACTGCCCTTTCTTTAAGGTATTGTTTTCAATATCATCCTCCCTTGTGTTGCAATTCTTCTCAATATGTCCTATCCTTCCACAATAAAAACAGAGATTTACCAGTCGTTCGTATTTAAACATGACAGTAATAGTTCTATTCCCCAACCGTATGGAAGTACATCTCGGCAAAGCTTCGTCAACATTGATAGTCACCAACAGCTTGATTAAACCCCCTTGTCCCCCGAGGTTGGTAACTAGTACATTCGAGCAAGATTCGAAGACGTGCCCTATTTTCATCCCCACCTCCGTTGTCATCCATTCCAAAGGAGCATGATGTACTTGGACCCAGAGTTTCAGATCATAAAAGCAACTATCCGTACTCTTGAGTCCTCTTCTCCATCCTTTAAGAATTAAATACTGGTTATCGAAAATCCAATTGGTTCCCTTTGCTATCCTTCTCATATCGTCCTCATTATCAAAAATAAATTGGAAGAAATTCCTCCCTAGCTCACGTACCTCCATCGCCGATTTGATTTTCCAGATAACTCCCATCGCCCTTTTAATCCCCACTAGATTAACTCTTTTCTCCCCGACAATCTTTCCAAGCAAACTTTTTGGAATTCAACAACACTATCTTGCACATCTTCATCCTTAATATCTATAATCCGATTCTCCACGCCCGAAAGTGAGAAAGCCCTCAATCGATTTTCGACTTCCTCCGTATAATCTCTTGTTGGGCTTCTAGCCATAAGCCCTAATCGATAAGTTCCTTCACTGATTAACTCACTGATTAACTGATCAACGTATAGAACCACAAGCCACACGTCTGATCTTGAATCTCTCCGATGAGAGAAAACAGCTTTCCGATGAAAGAAAGTACTCTCCGATGAGAGAAAGAAACTCTCCGATGAGAGAAAGTTCATCTAGCAGTACTTCTACACACATGATATCTCCCAACAGCCAGCAGCAAACAAGCAAACTAAAACACGCCACTCTCGATTTTTGAAGCCTTGTTAATTTTGACCATGATAGTCCATTTGAGATACTCGAAATGGATTTAATAATCTAATTTCTTACTTTCTTAATAGAGTTTCCAGCAGAAACTCCAGAACACTGAGGCTGATTAATCACATGACATTAACCACAATAACCAGTAAGAATTTCTTACCCATAATTGAACCCCAGATGAACTGGAAAATTCATGTTCAGTGAAGCATGTGGAACCATGATCAGCTGTAACAAGATGGACAAATGCTGTTCAAAAAATGATAAACAATCACCAAAAGGAAAATAGCTATGGGAAGGAAGAAACACAAGAGAGGATAATTGCAGCACAAATGCACACCAAACTTTCAACAAAAATCAAGAAGACATTGTTTGCCCCAAAAGATCTATATAGCAACAGACAAATTGCCCTACCCATAAGCAATTTAGATCATGTACTAGATAACGAAAGACTGGAAAAAAATTCAAATCATCTCCCATAAATATCCACAATACATTAAAAAACCGGAACACAATTTGGGATATAAAAGATTCAGGCATATCTAGCCACGGGCATCATCAGTTAAAGACAAGTTTTTCAGAATCTAATTCTTCACGCAAACTATATATGAAAACTTCAAATTATCTAAAAGCTAGATTCCTCGGTAATCAAAACCAGAAGCTTCAGCAGCATAGATAGCAGGTGGCAGGTGCCCACTGAAAGCCTCACAACCACCCAATAGATCTAATCAACCTAAAAGAAAAAAAGGGCCAATACAAGAAAACAAAACGATTTATTTCCCTCAAGTCCAATACTCAGGCACTCGCTTTCTCAATCTCACCCAACTCAGCTTCCTTTTCTTCCCCACCAGAATCAACATTCTGAGCCACATCACCCGCCAGCCCAAGCTCATTGGCAATTTTATCCCAAGCCTTCAACAAATTTGGATGGAACTTCTTATTCATAGTCTGAACCATACCCTTAGCCTCATCCATATGCCCGTTCTTAGCCAATCCCTCCACCAAATATTTCAAAGTGTTGAAATCTGGAATCTTCCCCATATGCACACTCTTCTTGAACACCTTACACGCCGTCACAAATCGCTTATTCTTGCACAAATGGAAAACCAGAGTCCTAAAAGTAGTTGAATTCGGGTTATGTCCTTTAGCCTTCAAGAGATCATCATGATACACCTTCATGGCTTCATCCATCATCCCATTGACACAGTAGCAGGTAATCAAATAGTTGTAAGTGATAGTGTTCGGTTTTATCCCATCATTCTCCATATCCTCAAGAAGAGCCTTCACGGCCTCCAGATTCCCTTCCTGAATATGTGAGAGCCTCACATTGTAACATCCCACATCAGGCAAGATGCCCTTTCCATTAACCATCTCGGTCCAAAACTTCTCAGCCTCATTAACAGATCCCTTCTTATAGAGACCATCCAAAATTGTGGAGAAACAGACCACACAGGGCTTCATCCCCTTCTCCTCCATATCTCTCAGCTTCTCCATACCCATCTCGGGCGAGCCCATCTCGCAGTATGCCTTGATCAGCATAGCGTAGGCATAGTTATCCGGTTCAAACCCGAACTTGAGCGGATACTCTTCGAAATAGACAGGAACCCGGTCAAACACCTTGGAGTGGACGCAGGCGTAGAGAAGAGAGTTTAAGGATAGGGAGGTCCGTGGGCTGCCAAGGTCGTCCATCTCGTTGTAGGTGTTGACGGCGTTCTCGAACATTCCGGCGACGCCGTACGAGCGGATGATGGACGAGACGAAGGGCTCCTGTGCGATCTGGGGGTTAGATTTGTGGGATTCGAGGAAGTTCTTGATGTCGGAGAATCGCTGGGACTTGACGAGGCGGCCGACGGCTAGCTCCTGGAAGAATCGGGTGGCGGCGAAGGTGGAGGAGTCAGCAAGGTCGTTAGTGGCGGCGAAGGAGGAGTAGATTTTGAGGACCTCGTCGGGGTCGTGCGTGTTTCTGAGCCGCTTCTTGGTTTGGGAGATAGTGAGTTTAGCCGCCGATGAAGTCGCGGCGGTGGAGAAGCGGCGGATGCCGCCGCCACCACGGAAGGCGAGAAAGGGAGACATTTTAGTGGTATTAGGGTTTTAGGGTGTGAAGCGAGTGGGAGTAGAGAGGGAGAGTAAAAATCCTGGGCTTTGTTAAAAATTTAAAATGCTTGGCTTAATCCAAGGTTATAAAAATCGAACCTGATCACTGTTCAATCGTTCACATGTCAGATCAGCACTCAAACCAGTTTAATTAATATACAATTTTTATTTATTATATATGTTTAATATATAATTATATATATTTTTATCATTAATTTTATAGTGTACAATAACATTTATTTAAACAAATAAATAAATAATCTTACATATTTCAATTATTTTGACTACCACACTTAATTAAGTGTAGACTGTAGACATATAAGTTAAAACCAATATGTTTTATTATTGTGTAGGCTTATAAGTTATAAGCGTGGTAGCTAAGCCTACACTTAAATATCAAACTATTATAATACAGACAGATTAATCATTTAAAAAAATAAAAAAAATCTTCAATAAACAAAAATCCAAAACGCTTATATAATAAAGAGAACATTAGGTCATTGATTAAATTCCAATTTATGACGTGGTTAAAATACAATCTATATATATATAAACAGATTTACCATTTTTTAAAAATAGTAACTAAAATCCAATCAACTTCTCTCTCTTCATTAATTGTTTACTACTTATAGTAATTTTTGTTGTCTTATTTATTTCACACGGTCAACTTTAATTAAGGAAGAGTTGTTAATGCTTATCTCTTTTTTTTCCCACGTTCTGCGTTAATTATGGTGAGCTGTACATGCTATCCATATTATGAGAAACTATATGTAACTAAGGAAAATTAAATCAAAGTGATAAGGCAAGTAAATCAAAGTGATATGATATCCAATTTTCTTTAAAATTAAATCAAAGTGATAAGGCAAGTGATTTGAAAATCCGATTTTCTTTCAACTCCTTTGAAAGATAATTTTTTCAATTTTTAAAAACTCCATTTTGTTTAAAAATTCCATACAAATCGGTCATCTGTATTTAATTCCACACAAAAATTTATATTTAAAAAAAAGGGATTTGAAATCGGTCATCTGTATTTAAACATAAAAAAATCCATGATTTAAAAAAAATCGTGAAAATATGTGATTTAAACATTAAAAATCCAAATAGTCTGGAATACAAATGGTCATCTGTATTTAAACATAATATATATATATATATGAGGCCCATATTAAATTGGCAAAATTTTTACATAACGTTAAGTCTACTTATTGTACTCTATTAAAAATACACAATAAGCCCACTTCTTTGTATTAATTTATAACTTATTATTAATAGACTAATATAAATAATATATATTTATATTATAATAATCAACTGATCAATTATAATATATTTAATTTTTTACATTATATTTAACCATCCAAATCTTACAAAATGATATCTTCGATTGTTCCAAAGTTCGGTCTTTCAATTATAATATATTCAATTTTGTACATTATATTTAACCATCCAAATCTTACAAAATGATATCTTCGATTGTTCCAAAGTTCGGTCTTATGTGACGTCATGAATGGTATTATGATGGTTTTAAAAATATATATTTTGTTCGATAAAATTTAATGTTCTTAGACTTAGAAAAAATTTAATGGTCTTAAAAAATTGTTTATTAATTATATCTTTCGTATTCTTTTATACAATGTGTATGAGTTCACCCGCTTTTAATGGATCATCTTTTATTATACCACAAAACAATAATTAATTGGAGAATTTTTCCTCTCATTATCAGAGTGTGCTGCATACACATCATAGTCTACCATTATCAGATTAACAAATGATATATTGTGTTTCAATTCGTACTTCAATTACATAATATACCTTACTTAGTTTTTCTTATATTAATAGATAATATATAAAAAGAATGACTGCTTGAAACATGTCGTTCTTCCGCACCAATAACTCAGGTGCTCGAATACAAGATATTGACAGTAGATCACGCTGTTGAAAAGGTCCTGACTCCAAGAATTAATACCACTCAATCAGGTTTTAGGGTTCCATTTACGTTCAAGCGGCGACCAATTATATTTGATGTTTCACGTGTAACAAATAGAATGAGTTGAAAATATTAGTTTGTGGGAACGACGAGTTACTCAATAATCAAACTCATAATGTTGTGGACAATGAGATTTTTAATAATATATGATTTTTTGCGACAAGCATTTTATGAGTGAATAATTTTCCTACGTATTATAACTCTCTTATAAATGAATGCATGTCAAATTATAATATTTTCTAAATTTATCTACCCGTGCATCGCACGGGATACGTACTAGTAACATATAATAACATATAGACCAATAAGCCCAATAGTTTGATTAAATTCAAATTTATTACCAGCCCGTCAAATAGGGACAACATGAGTTAAAATGCAATAGCATGCGATGACCAATAAGGCCCAACATTTTCTGTAAGCAAATAAAGTACAAATCCCATATTGAGAACAGTAAGCAAAAAAATCAGCTATTTTTTTTTTTTTTTTTTGGTACAAAAGAGGAGGCCAAAGGCCTTGAGAAATTAAACTAAGACTCGACGAGGGTAAGAGACCCCGATAAGATCATGACCCAGCCATGGCCCCATGCCAGGCGGTGGGAGATCGACACGGTGGAGGCCCAACAAATGAGAAGTCGCCATAGTAGCCATGAAATCTGCCGCAAAATTAGCCTCTCTATGAACATGGGTAAGCCGGACTTGCCAATCTCTTTGTAATAACTCTCGAATGGCCCGGACTAGACTCCCGTGGGTTCCATTGTTCTCACCAGAGCCCGAGACCATTTGCGTCGCACACATGCTATCAACCTCGGCAAGAACGTGACGATGGCCCCAGTCCCATGCCAACTGTAGACCCTGGAATAAAACAACTGGGCTGCCGGACCGCGTAAAGACACATTTTACGGTTTAACCAGTTTTTGGTCGGTTCAAACTGTTGGATACCGACTGGTGCATTGGCCAGTTCTCGGTTAAATTGGTTGAACCGGCCGATTCGGTCCAGTTTTCAAAAAATTGGCTTAATGTCAATAAAAAAAATTAAATCTGACTCAATAAGGCTAAGCTTTAGCCGTTTCCAGCCTTGCTATTCTTAATCCATAGTTTCAGTAATAAATTATCTTCAATAAAGTTATCATTTAACAAACTTTTCAATTTGTCAATCATACTTTTTAAGAAAATATACATACTTTCAAATTGTATGGTATATTTAAAAAACAATATAGATGGCATTCTATAGTCTAAGTACATATTTTAGTTAAAAAAGTATGATGGAGCGACTCACCTAGTTGTCTAACACAAAAAATTGTTTTATTATTTTTTTATTTCTTTTAAACGATAATGATGTTAAATTTGTTGGAATGGAGAAGTGAAGATGTGAAGTGAAGAAGAAGCTGCCTTTACACTGTTGCTATTTCTGTTCTTTTCGGTTTTCTTTTTTCTTCTTTTGCATAATAAGAATCGCACCTGCGCTTTTGTTAAATAGGATTGGGTTTCATTAAGTGGAGACGATGTCGTTTTAGGTCCTAGCCCACACGACGTCGTTTAGCTTCTAAGGTCTGATATGCATGCATACGTGTGTGTGTGTATATATGAGACTAAACAACCTTTTGTACTGTGATTTTTGGATTAATAAAAAATGGTGTTTATCACCACCAAAATTGCTCTGCTTTTCTTCATGGTACCAGAGCATTGATCTCTGGAAATCCGCTGCACAAAATCGATCTCTTGTAGCTGACGAACAATCGATCAAAGGAAATCGAGCTGCTGATAGCTCATAGCTGAAGATGGAGCACAAACAAAGAAATCCATGGCCGCTGCTGAACACTAACACCGATGCGAGCTCGAAAATGAATGCGTCAGATCCGCTCATACTTCACGGCTCCGATAATCCTGGTATGATGCTAGTATCACATCAATTGAGTGGAAACAATTTTTTGTCGTGGAGAAAATCTATGATTATCGCACTAGGAGCTAAGAATAAGCTTGGATTTGTAACTGGTGAAGTGCCTAAACCTAGTTTTGATGATGAGTCTTATGCTGATTGGAGGAAGGTTGATTGGATGGTCCTGTCATGGATTTTGAATTCACTGTCTAAGGAAATTGCTGAAACATTTATTAGTGTTGAGAGTTCTAAGGAACTGCGGGAAGAAATAGGGCAAAGATATGGTGAAAACAATGGTCCACTGAAGTATAAGTTGCAGAGGGAAATTAATACTCTCACTCAAGGGAACAACACGGCTGTAGAATATTTTGGCAAGCTTAAGAAACTTTGGGATGAGTTGGCTTGTGTGGTCCCTGTGCAAAGCTGTAATTGTGAAAAAGGAAAACTGGCAGCTCAACATGAACAGGAGACAAAGCTCATACAGTTCCTCATGGGGCTTAATGATGGTTATGAACACCTTAAGGGACAGATAATGATGATGGAGCCTCTTCCCACTATAAATAAAGCATATTCTATGGTTAAGGCAAAGAAATGTGCAAAATTTCTATGGTGAAACTGGAGCTATGATGATTAAAACAGGAGGAGGTGGAAGAGGACAAGGAAGAGGAAGTTTTGCTGGAAAACCTGCAAATACAGGAAGTCAATGGAACAATGTGAAGGGAAGGGGAGGTTTCAGAATGAGTAAAGAGGAGAAGGCCAAGCTACACTGTGACAAATGTGGAATAAATGGACACACAATTGCCACTTGTTTTAAAATCCATGGTGTGCCTGAATGGTATAAAGAGTATAGGGAACAGAATGGAAAGGCATATGTGAATAATGCTGAAACTTACAAGGTTGAAGAATCTTACAATCAAAGGCCAGTCATAAAAGAGGGGGCTAAAGAAGGAGATCTTACTTTTGTGATCAAACAGCTGAATGAATTAACTCAGTACATAAAAGCAAAGGAAAGGGTAAACCAAAGGATGGACTATGCTCAATTTGCAAACTATACAGGTAATGAGGAAGAAGGAGTACACTTTGCTTTGTCTGCAACAAAAGGCATACACAATGACAG